CCTATGACGGAGATAGCCTCAATCCGTAATACCGAAGATGGCCTCAATTCGGTGGAGGTAGGATCCCTCGGGCGATGGCCTCAAACCCAAGATCGCAGACCCTCGTGCGCACGTCTTAACCTCACTGACCAGGCCCTGCAGCCGCCCGAGCGATGGCCAGTTTCTATGTTCAACACAATAAACCAATTGACCTTAATCACCGATTAGAATTAATTAATTAACTTAACTAATTCATTAAAGTCTTGGATTTAACCATCCGGTCAAACCTACGACAACAGAATATCCAGTCAAAGCCTAGGTCAAACATGACCTAACCCAAGTCAAAGTCAAACTTGTTCAGTCAATTCACAATCCTCAACAATTCAATTCAAACAATCAATTTAATTCAATTAACCAATTTAGCCAAATTATAGCATAAACACATATAACGATCCAAACCATTAAATCTATTCTGAATGCTATTAACTTCATAGTACGGACCTGGTTTACGTCGAAATCGAATCGATAGCTCGAACGGAAGGCAAATCGACGAAATCAAACGAACGGGTCAAATCGAGTCAAAATGCGAAATCGACCAATCAATCCGGCCTGGAGGTTAATCTGCAGGCAATATCAACTCGGGGCAGCGGCCGGATGCGGCGTCGGTGACGGACGCCGGCGACAGTGGCGTAGCGGCAACTCGACGGCGGTGAGCAGCAACTGGCGGCGCTGCAATCGACGGCGGGGAAGGACGCCGGCAGTGGAGGCGACGTCCGGCAGAACGACGAGGTGAACCGTCGTCGGCGGCGCTGGGCAGCGACTGGAGGCGGACGACCGGCGAAGGTGAAACAACAGCTGGAAGCTCGGCGACGGCGGCTGGAGGCTCGGCGACGCTGAGTGGCGGCTACTGGCGAAGGAAGCAGCGGCGGCGCTGCAATCGACGGCGGCGGTGAGCGGCGACGCCGGCGGCTGGCTGCTCCAATTGGACGGCGACGATGGCGGCGGGCTTCCGGCGGCGAGCGACCGGCGCTGGCAGTGGAGGTCGATCGGCAAAGAGGCGACGGCTACGGGCGAAGGACACAGCGGCGGCACTGGAGGCTTGGCGACCGGCTGGGCGGCGACCGGCGGCGGCGAGGCTGGCCGGGGAAGACGAAGAAGAAAGAAGAAGAAGGAGAAGAAAAAGAAGAAGAAGAAAGAAAAAGAAGTAGAAGAAGAAAGAAGAAGGAAGAAGAAGAAGGAGAAGAAGGACGTACGAAGAGATAAGGTTTGTACGGATGAAATTAGTTTAGGTTTATTTAATGGTCTCATTCCAAAAAGGATTGGGCTTCGGACCCAAAATACCTGATTAAATGGTCATAACTTGAGTTCCATAACTCCGATTCGCGAGCCGTCTGAACCGACGCGATCACAAAAATATTTCCTACGAGATGACATAAAAGTTGGGCTTAGAATCCAAATTATAATTTTAACCCCTTATTGGGCCCAATTCGTAATCAATTGCTCTAACAATTTAATTAATTCTTTTGGGCCAGATTTCGGGGCGTTACAACCTCTTAGCCTATCGATGGTGACGTTGGAGACTCCAATGGATTCATAGATTGCATCGGCTTTTGACCTCCATTCGGGTGTGAGGCTTCGCAGGATTTTCCTCACGAGATCCTTGTTGGTGTAAGTCTTTTTGAGAGCATGGAGGTCGTTGATGATCTTTGAAAAACGGTCGAACATGTCATCAATTTTCTCACCTTCTTTCATCCGGAACATTTCGTACTCTTGGGTGAGAAAATCGATCTTGGCTTCGCGAACTTGATCGGTACCTTCGTACGTCACTTCAAGCTTGTCCCACATCTCCTTGTCGGTTGTGCAACAGGAGATCTTTTGGTAGTCATCGGGGTTGACCGTGCAATATAGCATATTGATGGCCTTTGCATAGTTTTCAATCTTCTTGATGTCCTCGGCATCAAATTCGTTTTTGGTCTTTGGGACCGTGGTTTCTCCCACTTTCTTCATAGGGATTTCTTCGCCATTTTTGATCACCAACCACAATTGGAAGTTGGTGGAACGAATGTAGATTCTCATCCGTTCCTTCCAATAAGAGTAGTTGGTGCCATCAAAGAGTGGTGGCCTAGAAGTTGATTGACCTTCTCCAATTCCTGCATAGAGATTTCTAGAAGAAGAGCCCATGATCGCTTTACTCTCAAACGGTTAAGTTTGGACGCGAGTTAGGCTCCGATACCAATTGTTAGAATAAGATACTAACGCTGGAGGGGGGGTGAATAGCGTTTGATCAAAAATTGCGCGAATAAAAAATGAATAAACGAGAAGTAAAGAGAAGAGTAAGAGGCACACCGATTTTACCCTGGTTCACCACAACTTGTGGCTAATCCAGCCTCCCGAGAGACCTTCTCGAGCTACACTACTACCTCGTTAAGCTTAACGGTGCTTAACAAACCCGTACAACTTGAGAATTCGAGTCACACGAACCTCAACGAACCTTCGAAGGAAACAGCCCATCCTTCGAACAACAAGAGAAATACCTTCTATTGTCAAGTGTTTAAGAACACTAAAAACACTCAAGAACAATACTCTCTTTTAGAGTGGATAATGAGTAAACTAAGAACGCTCAAGAACACAACACAAGCTTCACAAAAAATGGCTCTCAAAAGCTATGAATAATTGAAGAATGATTTGCAATGAAAGAGTAGGAGTTGTGAAGTAATGTTATGTGTAAAACAGACCCAAACACCCCATTTTATAGTAGAAAAATAGGCTCCAACGGACCAAAGTAATTAAGGGGTGATTGGCACAATTTGTGGGATTTGATGAAGATTGGATCTGTTGAAATTCACCGAGACAGCGCTGTCCTAGGCTTGGACATCGCTGTTCTAGGCTTGCGTTTTGAAAAATGGGAAGCAACGGTCATGCCAACAGCGATGTCTAAAATCTCTACATCGCTGTTTTGGCTGTTGACTTCCAAACAAGGAAAGTTTTAGCCTTAAATTCCTTCCAACGGTCAGGTCTCTACATCGATGTTCCATACTAGAACATCGCTATTTAGGTCTGCCTTTGAAGGTGGAGTTTTGGCCTGACAGCGCTGTTGCTGGGTCAACATCGCTGTCCTGAAACTTTCTGTCAATGCACTATATTTTTGGCTTAGGTTGGACAGCGCTGTAGGGAGGCCTACAATGCTGTTCCAGAAGTTTCTGGAAATCCAACCTTGGCTCAACAGCGATGTCTAACATCCAACATCACTGTTGGAAGACTTAACGCCAAACCATGTTTTTAGCTACCCAAGCCAGACAGCGCTGTTGGTTACCTCAACATCGCTGTTGGGCTGGTTTAGCCAGACCCATGGTTGGTTTAGTCACGCCGTTAGCCGATGTCAAAAACACAAGTTCTCCAAAGTAAAAATCAAGTATTGAAAACATTTGTTTATTGCATTTGCTAAGAAATCAAGTAAAATATTTTAAAAACCACGTCATTTAGTTGAAAACCACGACTAACCAAGTTCGTGCCGTTTAGCATGGTTTTCACTAAACGACCAAAAACGGAAAGTGGTTTTTGAGGCGTTTTTGTTGGAGAACTATTTAAATATGCCCAGAAGCAAAAACCAATCATAAAAAGTTAAAAACCACTTGGTTGGTTCGGATGCCCAAAAACCAATGCTGAAAACCGAAAGCCGAACGTCGGTTTCTGAAAGCCGAACGCTGGATGACTTGGTTTTTGGTTTGGGCGAACTCCAAGTGTTTTTAGCCAGGTTTAAAAACTTATGAAAAAAATTTTTGAATTTGCAAAAAGGGTTTTGATGAATTGAGCTTAGAGAGCCAAGATTTGGAAGTTTGTGCCGGTCTCGATCACATTAAAACCGACTCGATGCAATTCTAATTCTTCGCTCTTGATTCTTGGTTCTTGGTTCTCCGTTCATCATGCCATGTTCCTTCGCCTTGGTTTTGCTCAGTTTAACCTTGTTATTGTCACGGTGGTTTGGCATTATCAAAACCTGTCATAAAACAAACACGGCTTAGTACGACATAGGCGTAAACCCGTGTTCCAACATAACGATGAACAGTTTGCCATCAGGGCACAACTTCAACAGATTTTACCAAATTTTGTTGGTTGTACCCTCTTAAACGTAAGTATGATGCATTTGATGCTTTTCTCAGTTTTCAATCTATGGTTATCATTTCAATGCACAAATTAAAATCTTTCGAACTGATAATCGGCGGGAATATGTCAATACAAATTTTGGTTTGTTCTTACAAAGTTTGGGGGTTATACATCAAAAATCTTGCCGATACACTCCTGAGCAAAATGGGGTAGCTGAAAGAAAACACTGTCACTTAGTCGAAACCCTTGTCACACTCCTTTGCACTGCATCTCTCCCAGCAAAATTTTGGGTTGAAGCCTTAGCCACGATGAATTTTCTGATCAATCGCATGCCCAAACGGTCTCTGAATCACAAATCTCCCTATGAGTCTCTCTTTCAAAAACCTCCAGACTATTCCATATTTCGAATTTTTGGGTGTTTATCCTATCCGTGTCTCCGCCATGAAATCACTAATAAATTCCAACCCTGGTCCAAACCTTGCATATTCCTTTGCTATGATTCCTCCTCCAAAGGGTATCAGTGTTTTGATCGCACCACGGGTCGTATATACATCTCCCGTCATGTCCAGTTTCAAGAAAATCACTTCCCGTACTCCACCGTACTATGAGCCAACCTAGCGGTCTTGGAGATGGCTGCATCTGAGACGGAAACCCCTGAAGTCCCTTTTGCAATATGACTTTTGCAGTGTTCTCTGCTAGCCACCAAGATAGGTTCATCCACCTTTATTTGTTTTACCTATAATCTGGGTAAGGAATGAGGAAAGGTAGCTGAGGAGAGGAGAAATGCCATCCTTCCCATTGGTTGGAAAGTAAATCTAGCAAGATCCTTCAGCTCTGAACTCAATAATACTAATATGTTCTCCGTAGTTGTTGGATCCAAAGGAGATTGAAAGATTTCTATGAGGCTCATTTTTCCTTATGAAGTGAAATTGAAAGTACATTTGGGGTCTTAAAAAAAATAAATGGTTTATGTTAAAAATCATGACAAAATATCCATTTCCTAAATAAGTTTTAATAGTAATTGCTTGTATGACTTTGCATAACTACATACGACGATATGTTGGTCGCAAAGATTTTGATTTTTTAAAATTTGAAGACGAAGATGATGAGTTCGAGAAAGATTCAGATAATGAAGAAAGTTCAACAACTCATCGCAGAGGCACCAATGAATCACAAATGAGCTTGCTTAGAGATAAAATAGAAGACATTTGGTGAGATATAGGGTCAACCTCTTATTTTCTTAACAAAGTTCAATATCTAATTATTTTCAAGAACTTATTAAGTCAATTTTTTAATACAATGTTAAATTAAAATCACTTCTTTCAATTTATAATTCTTGACTAAGGTTATTTTCATTACCTCCATATACTTTATTTGAGAACTAAGATAGAATTTAAAAAAAAATTACATAAATAAAAACTACATAAAAAAATTTATGAAACAAGAAGTAACATGACTATTATTTTTTCAAATGAGTAAGTAGAAAAAGAAGAAACAAGAAAATTTGACTCTCTTAATAGTAAATAGCTTACCAAATTTTGGAGGGAAGGAGTAATTATTGGTTCATTTATATTGCATTCCGATTGAATTTTTTAAAAATTTAATCATTTACTTTTTCCTTAATGATTTCCTCTCAAAAAATATTTTTAAAACTAGCAAATCTAAAATTAAAAAAATATAATAACAAATGTAAAAAAAAATCACCCGAATAATATTAAAATTAACTAGCTTTTAAAATATCCGAGTACATGTTCAATGGGGTATTTTAGTAATTTACAACTTATTAGCTTTTTTAAATATTAAACTGCCAAACGATAAAAAATTAAACAGCTAATCACTAATTTTGATTCAAACAGCTAAACTCTAACTCTGTTTCAAAACGGGCCCAAACGTGGTGATAGAAAAGAACTCCACCAAAAGATCCGACCCAAGAGGGAGCGAATTAGATTATGAAATGAATATACTCCGTATTATTTCATTGAAAACACAAAAAACAAAAATTGTGTAAAATATTGATTCTAATGTGCGATTGCACCACCCAAACCGGATTTTTAATTAAAAAATTCGTAAAAGATAATACGACGTACATAAATCAGATTAATACTGCGTCCTCCCAAATATTAAAATCAGGATATATGATATTGAAATCATCAATATTTGTATTTATTTGTTTCATTGTTATAAATAAGGGAGAAAGACCAAAGTAGGACTAAACCATTAAAAATATACCAAAATAAAATTTCCATGTTTTTATTCTTGAAATAAGACTTAGAATGCATTTACTTTACCAAACATGGTCATGTACATTACTAAGAAGTATAGTAATGTGTACATGTACAGTGTCACATTATAACAGTGCGAAGTCCTATTTTCAGAAAAAAACATAAAAGTCGTATTTTGGTATTTTTTCTATGTTTTAGTTCTATTTAAGGTGATATAAATAAACATTTTATTTGATTACGATTTCCAAATACTAAAGTTTATATTCGTCCTTCCTTTGTGCACCGCACCCTCAAAATCTAAAAACAAGAGAAGCTCATCACCACAAGTTTGTAATGGTTAATTGATTAGGAAGCGATCGGGGAAGAAAAAGGCCCTTCAGAATAACTTTTTAGGTTTTTCAATTAGTATTAGTGTTTTGACTAATTTTTTAATGATACAAATTAACTTGCAATATTAATATTAAACATTGTCATTAAATAGCATATTCAAAATACTAATTTTGCATAGTTAAACTTCAGATTTAAGAGCTGGAAATATGCTAATTTTGAATATTTAACTTCGGCATATAAACTTTATTTCCTATCACAAAAGTACACGAACTTTCAACATTCTTTCACCGGTTGTCCAATAAGCGATTTCTAGGTCACCTTCAGGTCATTTGTGGTCAAATTATAATTTTATAAATTTAAATTTTTTATTTTGTCC